CACCTGAGACCAGGTTTTCTCCCTGTATCACTAGGAGAGTGATGCTTTGGAAACAGTGCCACAACCAACAAAGACAGGGCTAGACCTGACCCAAGGCCTATGATTTTAAGCAGGATGACCAGGAGATGTTAACCAAAAATAAGATATCACCTGTATTCGAGCTTTTTTTTTTTTCTTTGAGGATGCGTCCCTCCCACATTGGTCCCTCCCTCCCTCAACCTCTCTTACTCCACTGGCCCTTAAATTGGGGACAGCTCCCCCGCCCAACAATCTCAGACCAGATTGCCCTGCGCCCCCACCCACAGAACCACACACAGGAGTCCTTGTCCCCACTGCTGTCCCCCGCAACAACATTGGCCCAACACTGGCCCTCTCCTCAGCCACAGCGGTTGTTTCTAATTCACTCTCTAACCTCTTTAACTTCTAGGGACTACAGAGATGCCTCTCCTCCCTCTCCGCCTTCCTCTTCTGTCAGTCGGTCTACATTCCTCACATTCCTCGCCACCACCCCCCCAATTTACAATCTAATCTCAGTCCTTTTTTTCTCCAAAAATCTCACTGTAAAAAATCAACTAATAACTCATTTTTCCCCAGCAGTGCATGCTTCTCACTCTGCTATCCATCAAGCTAAAGAAAAGATAACAGCTGGTGGAGTGAGCAGCACACTGCCCTTTCCAGTGCAGCATGATGCTTCCCTTCTTGTCCTCTCACTCCCCCGCCCTCCACCCCATCCACCCCTGCAGGCAGTCTCAGGTTCCAGGACTTATACATTATCAGTGCTCCTCTGTCATGCTGTGCCTACCCTTATACTCTGCTCAGTTTGCTTGCTTCCACTCAAACCTGATAAGCACTATATTAGACCTAAAAATATGTATAAATGAGAGCATTTATTTTAAACCTTTTATTCCAAATTCCTCTTGTAAGAGATCTCTGCTGATTGACTTACAAAAGTTCTGACTAGTCTCTCATGATTACAAACTTATTTCTCTCTTTCACTAATTCATCCTAATTTACTAAATAGCTACGACATTCCAGGCCCTCTGCTAGGACATGGGATATGAACAAGTCCAGCCCCTGCTCTATAGAAGATCATGGATATTAGAATAAGTTGATATCGGTGATTCATAGAGCAGGGGCTGCAAACCTGAGAAAGTCCAACTGGGTATTTGGGAACTGAACTTGTGAAAATTATTTAAAGGAAAATAAGATTGTGACCAAAATATCTGCTTCATTCATACTAGGCTATATTGAAGGGGAAAAAAAAAAAAAAAACCAATGGAAATGTTTTTAAATGAGAACCTTCTCTCAGCACCTGTCCTCAAGGCAGAGTCGCTTTCCCAGTGTGTTTGGTAGATTGCTTCAGACAGAACACTGTTCTTGGTTAGAGCAGCTTACCTGTCTTGTTACCTGGGTTAGAGTCAGCTCACTTGGTTGGATCTATCATGAAAACATCCAGATAGCATCTCAGAGAGCTCCCACTACTAAATGATGACTGTTCTCAGTAGTAATGCTAGATAAATTCTGACTCTGGGTTGGCAATAGAATATGATTTTTAAAAAATATAGTCCAGACAGATTCAGACATTTCTATAGCAGTTCTACAGTTACGGAAAATTTTTGTCCATTGTTGATAAACAAGTCTTCTGAATTTGAAACTAGTGACAAAAGGAAAATGATGATTCTGTTATACTAAATAAGACAAATGTTCTGTACACAAAGACTTTTTATGTACCTTCAAGGGGAATCTTACAAGGAAAAGTAAGACCACTTATCAAACTAATAAAATCAGCACTGTGTATCTTTAATATAATTGTTTTCTTATTATGTCGTTTTTTTTTTTAATTTCCACAAATTGATTTGTAGGTGAACTTGTTTACATCGTGTTAAAATTCTTTACTCATACATAGTACAGGAGTTCAGACAGTTGTGAATTTGTCAGAGACTCTTTTGTTCTTATGGTTTCATGTAGCAATGCATTTTCCTTTGAAGACCTCATGACATCTAATGCATGAGTTTAGAATCAATGCCAAGGTCAATCTGTTTTAATCAATTCTAGTGAATACTTCAGTAAAATTCTCTATCAGCCAGAGCATTCCTTTCGCTAAGATAAAACTTGGTCATTTGCTCATGAATGCAACATTTCATATTAAGAGCAAAACTAGGCTAATGAAAACTTCTTTAGCATCATAAATATAGGGCTTCATTCAGAGACTGAAAAAATACCTGTAAAGATTGCATTCTAATGAAAATGGTCATGGAAGCTCTGATTTTATGGTTTGCTGACTACATCTCTTTAATCTTTCTATAGCACTTTTAATTTCAGAATGTTTAAGTAGCTTTAATTCCTAATATTAAAAAATTAAAGTTCCTAATGCCTACTTTTTATTAAAAACCATAAACTAATAAAGCTTAGTAATTTCCATTTCTATTTCAAAGTTAATGAAGTGAGAGAACAAGGGCATTACCGCTAGAGAATTTATGCACAGTTAGAGAAACCAAAGAAAGGAGTTAACATTAAACTCTGCTTGGAAACATTCTCTTTCAAAATAAGTTTGTCTGATAAATGTTTGATATAATCTATTTTCTTCTGCCTACAAATATTACATTGCAATTTCAAAGTTTGGAATCCCAAAATAAAACTGAGGAAAATGTGATAATAATTAGCCTCAATTTTTATAATCTTGGCTGCATGGTTAGCCAACATTTTGGCCCTAGCCTTTCAAGGTCAGTGAAGACTCGGGACATAGGAGAACCTGTACTGTAACAACATGTAACTCAGTTGTGCTCCAAATTTTCTGATCAAGAAGATTATGGAGCCACAGAGGAATGTGTTCAATGATGTAAAGTGAGCCTGAGGAGAGTCACTTGGAGAGAAAAAACATTTTCTCAAGCATTCACAGAGAGCAAATTGGTCAAGCAATGGCCATGACTCATCCTCATGGCTGACACTGACAAAAGGATGTACAAAGGGC